GAATGCATTTGATTCGCGATGATAAAGTGAGAATGAATGCAAAAGAATGACAAGAAAAGACGATGGATATGCTTAATGAACATACCTAACATGATTACTTAATCTAAATAATGCTTATGCGTGAATGTCATGAGAAATTATGAAAATATTAAATGTTATGAGATACATTTTAGACTAAATGCTCAAATGAAATAACGGTTTTACTTTGAATTATGCAAAAGAGAACTTTATTCATTTTCTTTAAGAAACAAAAGTGTCAATGATGATGACAATTGCAATCTTTTAAAGTTGTATGAATGATTTCATAGAGTATTATTTTTTATGCAAAGATGTAAAATGCATATCATGAATGAATTATGAAATGTAGATGAATGCATGCATGCATGAATAATTTTTTTGTGATGAGTGTTATATTGAAGGAGCGTGAGATATGATAAAAGTTAAAAAATAAATGCATGATGTGTATTATGAAATGGAATAAAAAATTTCTTTTTTTGCGTCATTCGAACGTAGAGGTAGAATTTGCTCGTGTGATACTTAATAAGGGTATCCCTAAGTTGAAAACTTTATGGACTACTAATATGTGTTCCTCTCAAAAGGGTGGAACTATAGTTCTAAAACAAGTTTCTAGAGCCAATAACCCTTCTTAGGATATTAGTCACAATAATAGGTAAACTATTAGAGGTGATAATACCCTTGAAAGGATCAAACTCTAGGTGAGGCCTTCATAATAACAAAACAAGATGTACATCAAGAAGGTTACCATTACTCAACATCTTACTATCCTAAGTTGCACTCAAGTCCGGGCATAGGACCCCACTCATAAACGTGTGTGAAATTGTGCAAGTGAAGTGTGTGAAGGGAGCAATCCTACACTATGCAATCTACAAAACACAACACATATGATATAGAAAATGAAATTCTTCTACCCTAAAGTTCAAATTACACAACATATATTTATATAATTCATGCAAATAATACAAACAACAAATAAGAGACATAAACAAAAAAAAGTAATAAAATAAAATAAAAGTGAGATAAACATTATTAATTAGTTTAACTAATTATTATAGGCTTGACTCTCAAAAATATCCCCAGTGAAGTCTCCATCTGTAGCAACCTCGGTCGCGACGGGACGGCAAAAAATAAATTGAAAAAGAGGAGTCACCACCAATGTTATTTTTTTACGGAAAAACATTGGAAAAACCATAAAATAGAAAATAGTCTACGAAAACCAAATTTTGAGTTCGGGAGTCAATTACGTGTGAGGAAGGTATTAGCACCTCACAACGTTCGTCCTAAGACGATTACCTTTAATTAATTAAACTAATTATTTATAATTTATAAAATATTTATCTCACTAAAATGATCAAATATATTTTATTTAACTAATTTAAATTATGCATTGAAAAGGGTTAAAATTATTATTGTTATATAAAAAGGAAAATAATATATTTTTTATTTTTTGGCTCGACAATATTTAGTTCTTGCTCCTACGTATCTTCATGTGTAATGAAGAATCAGAGTCACGTAGTTCTTTGTTAGAAAATATTTGTGTGTTGATATTTTTTTAATTAAATTTTATTTTTGTTAAATATAGGATTCTTGAACTATCACAGTTCATTCATCCTAAAAATATAAAATTGACTAAGGTGTACACCAAAGTCAATTCAATTAAATTTTAATTATAATTATTACTAGAGATGTTATGATGTTAAAAAAAATTTCTTGGTTGGACATTTTTGTTTTTGGAGAAAAAATTTAAAGATAAGCTGTCACAACTTGTACTTTAAATTCAAAGGTTAAAAAGATGTCACATCTAATTAACCATTCCTCCAATAAAATTTTTGATACAATAATTTCAAATATTTACATTAAATATTGTAACATTATATTTGATATTTAATCACATTTTGAATTTAAATAAGACTTTAAGATGATAAATAAACTTTTTAAAATAACAGATATTACTAATAAAAAAATAAAATAAAAACAAATAAAATAAAAATAAATAAATAAAAAGAAAGTGAGTTCGATATACTCACTATTCTTCGCTCAAGAAGTAGTAACTTGTTGGTTTCTCCTTCTCAGCTCCCTCTGGTCCAAGGTGGAGATATGTGTGTGGGTGTGTGTAGGTCTTTTTTGGGAAGGGGAAGGGCCGCTATTTATAGACTTTCAGGAGGGACTGGAACGACCCGTTCTGAATCCGGAACGGCCTGTTCCGAGGATGCAATTTTACTCACAACAGCCATTTTCAGAACGGCCTGTTCCAGTTTCGGAACGGCCCGTTCTGAGATAGAATTTATAGGTATTTTGGTCGTTTGGGAACGGTCCGTTCTGGGCTAAAAATTATAGGTCTTTTTTGAAGGTTGGAACGACCCGTTCCAGTTTTTTGGAACAGCCCGTTCTGGGCTAGAATTTATAAGTCTTTTTGGAAGGTTGGAACGGCCCATTCCAAATTGGGAACTGCCCGTTCCGAGCTAGAAATTTTAGAGTTTTTTGGAAGGTTGGAACGGCCCGTTCCAGTTTGGGAACGGCCCGTTCCGGACTAGAAATTATAGGTTTTTTGGAAGGTTGGAACGACTCGTTCCAGTTTTGGAACGGCCCGTTCCGGGCTACTTAATCATATGAAAATTACTAAATTACCCTTCATAAAAATATAAAAAATGAGGTATTACATTTGGCTTCTATATTTTTGTCTTTTTTATTCTTTTTTGAATATACCTTTTTTGCTATTTTTTTTAAACAAAAATTGACATTTTCCGGACGAAATTAAGTTACTACAAAGTCATTTACACTTCATTTTAGTCAAATGCTTTTTTACTTTTAAAATTACATTTGAATAAAAAAAACTTAAAAATCAACATTACCCAAATGAGACCCTAAAAGTAATGAGAAAACTTTAGATACTCTTAAGATGATAGATGGATAAAATACAAATTTCAACACTTTTTTATTATTATTTTTTTGTTTTCCTTTTATATAATTTATCAATGTTTTAAAAATCGAACTGATCATTAAATTCGTAATAGGTTAGTGAAAAATGTCGAATCAGTGAGTTATTAATTAAGTAGTATGATCTGATTTTTTTTATAAATATTGATGTCATATACATTTTATATATATAAATTTCAATAAAATTCAAACTATATCTTAAAGCAGTTCTTTAAAATAATTGTAGTCAATTAATATTGATAGAAAAACCACATTATATATTTGTTGAACTGCATAAATCAATATATAATAAATGTATAATTTTAAATTAAAAACATACTATGTAAATTATTTAAGTCATTGTACAATAAAACACAACATGTTGATTTAGTGATCATTGTGATATTAAATAATCACATTTACTTGAATTAAAGTTTTAGATTTAAAATTGTCTTTAATTTTGTTTTATATGAGAAAGTAGTGAACTATATGAATTTATGTATAATTTAAAATTAAAATAAATTATAATATTACTTAAACATGAATTTATATAAAATTAAATAAAAAAATTAAAAATCAAGTATACTATATATATATATATATATCATATGAGTTATTCAGTTCGGTGGTCGTTTGACATTTAAAAACCCAAAATAATTGCTAACAAATCCTGTTTTTTTGTAAAATCATTTTATTTTTCTTCATTTTAAGCGATCACAACTGAATTGCATATTGCATGATGTGAAGTCTCTAATTATTTGGTTTTATAAGTAGGAATGCGTCAAATAATATTTTTAAAATCGGATCGATTATCGCCATACAATAATAATAATTATATAATACATAAATATAATATCATACTTTTTTTTTAAAATATCGGTTCGATTCCGATTTTCTAAATCAATTCTTGGCTATTTTTGATTATTTTTGAGTGAATTCATTTGAATTTTGACCTATTCTTTTATACATCATGTTTATGATTCATTCATGTTGATAGAGTAATCAATGCTTGATTTAATGGATCGAACTAGTTGCTCCATTCTGATTGTGACAAAACAGGTGAGAAGTCATTGCCACCAGCGTGAGAAACAATAATTACTTAGTGCAGCATGTATGGGGCAGTGTATGAAACTTAAAACCACGAAAAAGTGAAGCATGTCATGTGCCAACATGCAACAATTTTTAAAAATAAAAAATGTGTGAACCGTTACTCATGATAACCCAAGGGTCATTGGTTGAACCAAGAAATGGTCGAATTTTATTAATTTATACCAGTTTAATTGCATACCCAACATGATATAAGGATCGAATACGATATATAATTAACTGGGTCTGGGTCTAATCAAGATCGAGTGGCCAATTTAAGCCAATTTTCAAAACTATGGATTACCCTTCTTTCCGTGGGTCTTTAATAACAAAATTATTTTTATCTATTAATTATTTGTTTTAAAATATTAAAATTTAATTTATGAATAATTATAATAAATAAAAATAAAAATAAATATAAAATTAAAATATTTCTAAAAACTCATTTGTCAAAAGGAAATCCCTATAAACACACGGTAACATCTTTTACCAGTTTCATATTTTTTTCCAATATATGATTTTGCCGAAATTGTAGTAGCAGGTGCGAGCAGGTAATGACATTCTTCACACTTTTCTCTTTTGTTTTTTTCCCTCCGACGTTGATTCACTAATACGGAAGCAAGTGATATTCTATGCCTTCTTTCTCTTGTCTTTTTCCCCTTTAAGTGTATTTGAATCTCTATGGAAGCAAGTGGCATCTATGCACCAGAGGGACCACTCCATATTCAGGGTATTTCATGAACGTAGGACCTTTGTCATCATGTTACACTAAATGAGGTATTGATTTGCGCTTTTAGTGGCTATTGGCATGTCCACATTTTTGTCGTAAATAGCACACAAATTCATCCTTTAAAAAAAAATAAAGAAAATAAATGAGTTGAGTACGTGGGAGATGGGGAAACACCACTCCTCTATCCCTTTAAAGATGAGGTTAATCTATCGTTTGGATTTCTTGTGCTATTTTGGCCCTTCGCTCTAGATATGTGTGGATAACACCATGTCACACTCATTTGTATATATAATATGTAAAACCCCCATCAAAATATCTTCCCCCTCTCGTGTACTTTTGCCGTTTGTTTTCTTTCTTCTATTCCCTTTCCTTATTTTCTTTGTTTTTTCCACAACTAGCTAGCTACACCAACACAATGCATCACACTCATCACTACCCGCTTCCTTGTTTGTATTGCCACCCATATAGCTATATTAGGATGGTAATAATCTACCTAGTTTCCCATTGTTTCATGTTGGACACTTTACTTTAGAGAGTATATATATTGCCTTGATTATTTATATCATTAGCTCCACATGATTAACCTTTTTTGTGGAAAATAATGCAGGTTCAAAATCTCATTGAGAGATGCATGCTTTTCCGCATGAGCCAAGACCAGTGCATAAGGGCACTGGCGGAACATGCAGGGATTAAGCCTCTTGTTACTGTTACAGGTTCTAATATTTTCACCACTTGAAAGCCTATGTTACACTTGGTGTGAATTAGTTATATTTAACTTCTGTTACGTGTGCAGTGTGGAGAGAGTTGCAAAAGGAGAACAAGGAGTTCTTTAGAGCATATTTGCAAGTTGTAACTCCCAGGCCATTCATGAGTAAGACCCAAACTTTCATGTATCTTCCAGGATCAGTTGCTTTTAAACTAAGATGTTAAAACATATATACTATAAACTAATTATAAAAATTCCTATGCATCCCAAACAGAACTTTGTGACCTTTATGTTGTGCATGCAATACCAGGTATAAATTAGCAGCAGAATAATGATGTCAGATTTTATGTTTTTTCCTTTTCAGGTAGATGGTTTCAAAGGGGACCAAAATTAGCTAGAAGGAAACACTGGAAATGATCAAGGGAATAGTGGCTGGATAATCCCTACAAGGAAAAAGTGAGCTGGAAGATTGATGAGGGAAATATTAATGATTACTAATCCTAGCAAGAAAGTTGTTGGATCATTAAGTCTATTTGGAAAAGTTAAAATCATTTTTAAGAATTTTTCTATTAGAAATAAAAAATATTTTTTAATAAAAAATTCTTAAAAATATTTTTAAACTTGCTTCTATAATCTCCCTAAGGATTTTGGGTGAAGACCCTCGTTATTCGTGCATGCGCATATAGTGGCCAATGGTTGTATTTCTTTAATGCTAGATGCTGTTCTCAAAGGCATTAAAGATATAAAATTGTACCATATAGTCATTAGCCGTAACTTTGGCTTAGTGTGAAGGATGCAACAACAGATGCTATTCAAGTCTGTTACATTTACCTTTGTGTAACTTTCCTAGATTTATCAGTTGAGATTTCCCTTTTTGTTTGTGGATTTTATTATTGTAAAAGAAGCTGTCATTGGTATCATTCCAACGCTTGTATAAATTTGACAGCAGTGAAGTTAATTCATCAAATGTTCCAAACTTAATGATTGAAGCTTGCTTTAGCCTTTGACTTTCTCTCTTCAGTGAAATTTAATATTCTTCTTTCTGTTCTGCTACTTCTTGACACCGTAACTTACAACTTACCCCTTGACAACTTGCCCTGGCTGACTAGAGTTAGAGAATTTTAATTAACCAATAAACATTTGTGTGATCCTGAAGAAAAATGAAGCTGGTATACTCGATCACAAAGGTGTCGGTACTCAAAAGTCAAACTATCAATTACTACTATATTAGACATTTTCTAAAGCCTAAAGTCTCAATCAAAGATAACGAATGATTTTGTTATAAAAAAAATAATGAATGTTTCACAGTTTTCCACTCGTTGTGGAACTATTTACTCCCATGAAAATTGGGTTATGGAATATTTTTAAGTATGTTCAAAATCAAAAAATGTAGAAAGGAGTTGATTCTAGGTCAAAAAGTATGTTGAGCAACTTCCTTGGAATGATAAAAACAACAGTAATCACAATGGAAAAGGAAGATGATAGGATTTGAGAAATAATGTAAGATAGTTAAACAGTAATTGATAGTGAATAATGAAAGCTTATTTGATTTTAAAAAGTAATAGTTACAATGAAGTCTAAATTTGTCTATTTATAGGTATAGTGCACCACTTTTGGATGATGCTAAAAATTTCTACTATTTCTAGATTTTTCAAGTTCCTAATTAGTCTATATTTTTTTTTTTAGTTTTTTTTAGAGACTTATAGCTATATATTATGGTTTCTAGAATTTTATTTTTCTTTTCTAGAATTTGCATTAGAATTTAACATTTCTCATTGATGCAAATTTTGGTAACTTCAAGCATAGTTCATAGTTGTTCAAACTTCACTCTAGCGATAGTGTCTTTGTAAATATGTCATTACAAGAAACGTTACATATAGTGACATATAAAAAGTGTCATTATAGGTATAATATATGTAAGTATATATCTATTTGACATATAGTTACATACAATTTTAGTATTGATTTTGAATGAGATTTAACAACATATTTTGTGTATCACTATAGTCTATACCCACACTTTTTAATAATATACCAATATATATTATATTTATATGGGTAAAAGTAGTTTTTAGTGACATGTATTGTATCACTATAAGGTGTGTGTCACTATATGAAAATTTTCTTATAGTGTGTGTGCTATTTGATCTTTTGTTGTGCAATACTCGAGTTGAATTTATTTAGTTGTCTTTGCTTCTTTGATGAAGAAGTGATATTTAATAGCTATGTATTTTTTTCTCTAATGATGGACCGGATTCTTTATCATCCTTATTGTCGATTTGTTGTCACGATAGATAATAGTTGGGTCATCTTGTTATTCACCCATTTTTTCAAGTATTCTTTGTAGCCATATTACTTGACTTGTAGTTTCAGTAGTTGGTACTCTACTTCTGTTGTAGATTGTGTTACTGTTGCTTACTTTTTTGATGCCCAAGAGAAAAATCTTGAACCTAGTGAGAAGGCATATATGGGTGTACTTTTCATGTCATCTATTGGTCCTGCCCAATTACTGTCAATGTAGTCAATCATCCTTGAATTGGTCATAGTTTTGTACCATATACCAACTCTCTTGTGCCTTGTATATATTTTAAAATTCCTTTTTCCGGCTCCATAATGAATCTGACTTGACTTTTGCATGAATCTTGATAAAAAGACTTGTCAGATGCATAATGTCTGGTTTAGTCATGTGGTTGTGAGATATAGAAGACTTGCGATCAAACTCCCATATTATGATGCATCTACTCTAGTGCTCCATATCTTTTTGTAAATTATCATTTACCACCAATGGAGTAACGACAGGTTTACAATCAAACATCTTGAATTTTTTCAATAAAGCTTCTGTATATTTCTTTTGAGAGATAAATATTCTTTCTTTTTATTGTCTCACCTTTATACCGAGGAAGCAGTTCATCAAGCCAAGGTCAGTCATCTTGAATGTCTTCATCATGTCTTTGTTAAATTCTTTCATTATCTCCATCGACGTATAGGGAGACAATGAGATCATATTAACCACGTGTCTTAATATATAGTGTTGACTCACTCTTGCTCCTCTTAAATCCTTGATTAGCAAAGTATTGATCAATTCTGCTATATCATGCTCGAGGAGCTTGCTTTCAGGCCATATAATGTTTTTCTCAGTCTTAAAACTTTGCCTTCATTGCTTTTGCTGATGCAGCCTTATGGTTGCAACATAAATCTCTTCTTCAAGAACTTTATTTAAAAAGGCAAATTTGGCGTCCAATTGGTAGATGTTCCAACCTTTTTATGCAACGAGAGCTATTAAAACTTTAATTGTATCTAGGCAAGCAACCGAAGCAAATGTCTCATTGTAGTCAATTCTAGGTTGTTGTGAGTAGCCTTTAGCAACCAATCTCGCCTTGTATTTTTGTATAGCTCCATCAAAATTGGGCTTTGTTTTATATACCCATTTTAATCCTATGATGTCTTTTCCATGTGGGCAGTCTATGAGCTCCCAAGTGTTATTCTTTTCAATCATTTTAATCTCTTCTTCCATAGCCTTAATCCATACTTTTTGCTTCGATGCTTTTTCATAGCAGTCAGGCTCAATCATGGCCATATTGTAAGTTTTGTATATGTTTACCAAGAATCTTACTCGTTTTTAGAGTAGACTCTGGTGAAGAATCTTGTTGTTGTTGTGGAGGTGGAGAAAACATTCAGCCTTTTTTTGAGCTACTTCTTAAGATTGTTGCACTAGAAGTAAAATGTTACTTTTAACAACTTTTTCTTCTTCCCAATTCCAAGAAGCATTTTCATCAACCTCAACATCTTGACTGATAACGAGCTTCTTTGTTTGTAGGTTGTAGACTTGATAACCTTTTGATTGTGTATTATATCCCAAGAATATTCCTCATATAGTCTTGTCTTCAAACTTGTGCCTCTTTTGATCAAGAACATATAAGTAGTAGATAAATCCAAATACTCATAGATGTTTAATTGATGGATTTCTTCAACTCCATGCTTCAATAGTAGTCTTGTCTTGGACTACCTTAGTAGTGTAACATCTATTTAGTATGTAAATAGCAGTGTAGACTACTTCAACCCAAAAATTGTTAGGAAGGCCTTTCTCCTTTAATGTTGATCTTGCTGTCTCCATGATAGTGCAGTTCTTTCTCTTTGAGACACCATTTTGTTGTGGTGAGTATGTAATTATAGGTTGTTGATCAATGCCTTCATCTTCATAGAATTTGTCAAACTCGTGCGAGTTGTACTCCTTGCCTCGATCACTTCTTAGTACTTTTATATGTTTTTCGCTTTACTTCACCACAAGAGATTTAAATTTCTTGAAGAATCCAAAAATCTCACAATTTTTCTTTAAGGAAGTATATCCACATCATTCTATAAAAATCATTGATGAAAAGGATGAAGTGTCTTTGTTATTATAAAAGTGATGGCGTCCTCATTGGTCTATATGTCAATGTGGATCAACTCTAACAAGTCTTTTTCTTTTTAGGCTTTTTCAGTAGAAAATGTTAGTCTATGTTGCTTTTCCAAAAGGCATCCTTAACATGTTTCATTATTTTCTTTTAAAGTTGGAACATATCTCATCATATTCTTTTGATATAACAACTTTAAGGCTTGAGTGTTGAAGTGGTCAAACCTTCGATGTCATAACTATGAATCACTAACTTGAACTTTCATGGCAATGTCAATAGCATATTTAAAATTTATTGGAAAACTTGTATTTCCTTTCTTCATTTTAACTTGAGCTATCTCTCACCTTTTGTTATCGTAGATAACACATACATCGCTTTCAAAGTGAAGAGCATAGCTTTTCTCCATCATTTAGCCAATGCTCAATAGGTTTTCTTTAAGATTGGGAACAAGTAGGACATCATTTGAGTCTAGTACCTACCTAAGTCTCCACCATGACAGTGTCTTTGCCTTTTGACTCTACCATGGTGTCATTCCCCAATCGTATTTGAACTTTGACAGAATTATCAATTTCTTTGAAGATGCTCGGATCATTAGCCATGTGATTACTTCACCCATTATCCAAGTACCATCTTCCTTTTGATTCATTGTTGGAATATCGAGTAACATAGAAAAGATGTTACTTATTGTTTTGCTCTTCGGCAAAATTTTCTTGTTGTTGGTTTTTGTTGCGGAAATTTTTTTCCACATGTCCAAATTTCTTATAGTGTTGATAATAAGGTTTTCCATGATGTCAACAACCTTTTCCAAGTGACTTGTCATTTTACAAATGTCATATGGAGGATATTTTCCTTGATTAATCTTAGAGAAACTTCTAGAATTTTCTATATTTTGAGAAATTTCTCCAAGGTTTTTATTTCCTTCATATACTTTATTTTGAGACTGTAATTTTAGTTTTAATTGAAAAGCATTTTCAACAGTTTTCTTCATGTCTTTTCAATCGTTATTCATAGGCTTCAAGAGAGCCCATTAGTTGTGTTATCGATAATATAGACAAATCTTTGTTTATTCAATTGTAGTTGTAATTGCATCATATTTACGGGAATAGAAATTAGAATTTTCTCAACAAATTTTTTGTCAAGAATATATTTCCCATAGGCTTTCATCTAACTAACTATTTATTTTATTCTATAATAGTAATCTTTTATGATATTAGATTCTTTCATTTTTTTTATTAATCCAAACTCACGTCTTAGAGAATGAAATTTAACATTGTGTACCTCATTACTTCCTTGAAACTCCTCCTGTGTGTGTTCCAAGCTTCCTTTACACTTGTGGCACTCATTATTCTTGGAAAAATTGTGTCTTTAACTACTTGTTGAAAAACAAATAACACCCTTGAATCCTTCTGTTTGTTTTTCTTCAACTCCTTCCTTTGAGATATAGTAAGAGTTGAGGTGTCTTTTGGAATAGTAAGTGATCATCTTCTATATCGTCTCATAAATCTTGAGAGCAAAAAGTTGCCTTCATTTTGACACTCCAAAAATCATAATTTTCTCCAATAGAAATAGGAATTGGAATAGATGATGGTTGATTAGTATTGGCCATAGGTTGTGAAAATATTTTTAAAACATTATAGAATATAGTTGGGTTTTTAGAAGTAGTTGAGAAATTTATCTACGCCTAGTAGATAACCAAAAGTAGTTGTGGTGTCATAGATAGTATTTAGAAGTACCAAAAGAAATAAGTTTTATTTGTTGGAAGGATGATAACAACATGAGTAGTCTTGAGAAATAGTGTATGATAGTTGAATAGTAATTGGTAGTGAATAATAAGAACTTACTTGATTTTAGATAATAGTAGTTACGATAATGTCTTAGTTTGCCTATTTATAATCATGGTGCACCACCTTCAGATGATGGTGAAAATTTCTACTATTTCTAGATTTTTCAAGTCCCTGGTTAGTCTACACTTTTTTTTAAAAAAAAATTTCTAGACACTTGCTATATCCTATGATTTCTAGAATTTTCCTTTTCTTTTCTAGAATTTACTTCATAATTTAACAGAAGAGTAGCACAGGTGTAGTAGAATCATGAGTTAAAAATGAATAATTGAAGACTGAAACTGTTAGCCATCTATCCTATTCCTACTCAACTCGTTTTCATTCCTCATAGCATCTAACTTTAATGTTAAGACAGAGAAGAGATGGTTGCTATGTGCGCCGAGCCTTTTTTCACTCAAAAGGTGTCCTTGACCAGATAGCTAGAACTCCTTGGAACCTTTTTTCCATGGAAACCTTGGCCTTCTTTATTCACCTGAAAGTTTCAGTCACATATATATAATATATTCACTCATTACAGTGGCAAAGTACTGTGTTAGAAACAGGTTAGCCTACATTTCCTTAGAAACTCGTTACATTACGTTACAATGACATTTCGAAGATTGCTATTTAAATATAACGACAATTCGTCTTTAATATAAATCAATTGCATGTAGTTCATTTTTTCTTTCTTACAAAAAGTTTAAGAGTGTTGTGTTTAAGGCTCATCAAGATCTATGAGAGCTTATAAGGATATTTACACGCACTGATCAAATCCTCACATTGGCATGAATTCAATTTTCTTTTAAAATAGGAGTTTGTTCCTTGCGACCAACTTTTGTTGATGTACTACATGTTGTCTTATTTATCATTATTCATACATTACTATAATTTTTCTTATTACACGCGATTTTTTACGTGATTTTTTATTAAAAATTTGCAAAAAATGTTGTTCTTACAAATTTTTTCTGCGAAATTTTATCTCTAGGTAATACCTTTGTGGATAATATGTTTTTGCGAAATTTAAATATCGCAAGAAATTTTCTTGCGAAAAATTTGTAAGAAACTTTCTTGCGAAAAAAATTTGCAGGAAAGTTTCATACAAAATTTCCTGCGATTTTTTTTGCAAGAAATTCTAAAGAAAAATATTTTACGAAAGAAATTAAAAAAAATTACTATTTGGGGATAAGTTTACAATGAATTCATCCAAAGCATGTAAATTATAGGTCTAACACACAACCATACAAAATTAACTTGTAAGGTGGATATTGTCCAAACTTATATACTCTTTAATTGTTTTATTTCTAATCGATGTGGGACTTGAGAAAAATCTTTTAATTCTTAAACTTATAAATTTATATATATTTTTATTTTTCTTACAGATTAAAATTGGCGGGAAAATCTGTAAGAAAATTTACCTGCGAAATTTTTCTACCATTTAATAAACATTACTTGCGAATTTATTTTTACAAGAAAATCCGTAAGAAACAAGATATAATTCTTACAACATTTTTTGCAAATTTTTACCATGGAAAAAAATTTCTATGATCATTAAAATTGTAGCAAAATTGGCACACAAAAAAATTCTGGATTATTTTTCATTAAAAAAATTTTAAGAAATTTCTGTAAATTTTTTTTTGTAAATAAATTTGCAAAAAAAAATTGTAAAATTATTATTTTAAGAAAATTTGCAAAAAAAATCTACAAATATTTTTTTTAGAAAAATTCACAGAAAAATAACATTTTTCTAGTAGTGATACTAGTTTTATAAATAAAATAAACTGCTCTATGTTACATTAATTGGTGAGCACTATGAGAATAGTAAGTCAATGGTTACTCTCTTCATCCTTCTTATAAAACCCAATTATTACTTAATTAATCATAATTTAAGAATTTGTCCTAAATTTATACTACCAATTATTTATTAAATTAAGAAAAATATTTTTAGTTCAAATATTTTAATTAATTCTTGATTATCAGTTTTATCATGTCTATGAAAAAAACTAAAATATTCTTAAAAAAAATTGATACAAAATATTTTAGACCAATTCCTATATATAAAAAAAATCAATAAAACTTTTCTCAATGAGTAGTTTTATAAAAAATGAAAAGGACGTGAAGGAATACATGGAATGAAAGGAGGCGTACGTGTTACATGTACTAGTTTTCTGTGACTACAGTAGCAATGCCAAAACATTGAAGATACTCCCACTAACAATAAACACTATATATTTTACTAATGTGTTTATCAATTAATACTAAAGTTGCATATATTAACCGAATTCACTTTTCAATTTTGGAACGAATTATATGATTTTACCTCAATAGCATCACTGGGCTCTACATTGGAGTCCAGTTCCAGAAGTTGGTCTGTCAGGTTACAGCTGTCTTCATCTCCTTTACACTGAGAAGGGGGGAAATTGGCCCACTAAAATTTGCCAAATATATACACCATATAATTAATAAACATACTAAGTATTTATTTTATGTAGCTTCAAAAAGTTACTCTCTTAAATGTCTACTAAGTTATTACATGCAGTTCAAAAACCTTACATTTTTTGCCGCAGTACTGAAAGCCTCCTTGTGAGCCATGTTAGGATTTTCAGCCTTTAGCCTTTTAATCTCTTCTCTGCATTGAAGTAATTAATATTAACATTAGAATTAGTTATTCAAAATTTTAAATTTGCATTGTGGTCTTTGGTGTATATATAGTATACACTTGCACAACTTTGTGTAGTTGAACATTACTTGATGAAGCGGTTATATGCAGATGGTGTTCGCTGCCTCTTCTCTGGGGCTGTAAAGATCCCACACATTGAAATAGATAAATTTATAAGGGAAACAATCATGGTTTAACAAAACTTGCTTCAAGCTCAGAAATTATCCAAGTTTTTACGTACGTACGTTTATTCACGTTGGTCATTTGAGTCACGTTCTCTTCCTCACAGTCAGGATGCGTCATTATGGATGCATCATAGCTGTTCAAAGTCATGTTTGCACCATCTTCTGAACTTCCTCTCTTTGGCTGGAAAATGGAGATATATATTCGCAATGCATTTAAAGTAGAAAAAACGAACATTAAATAAGAGTACAAATTTAATCCCGTCTATATAAAAATAAGGATGAGATTTGATTCTATTTCTTGAAAATATGGCTATTCTCTAAAAGATGGGACTAAAAACTAGCTATAGGTCAATATTACAAATCTTAGTTTTTATATTCAACAAAAATGATCAGTTTTAGTCCTTAACATGGGATTAAAAACATATCCAATGATACTAAAATCATTTTATTTTATGAAATGTATGAACTAAAAGTAAATAAAACTTTTATGGGTCTTTTAACTAATGTTTTTATTAAGAAATTAATATGTAGAAACTTTTTACCAAAAGCAACAATAAAGTAATTAATAAATAATATGGGAAATGTGCACATACATTTTTCAATAAAAAAAAAAACTTTTACTTTTAATTTCTTAATCAGTGCTCTAAGAACAATGATTAACATTTTCCAACTTTTATAAAAGTTAAAATGATTTATAGTCTAAAAGTATAGCTAATCTTAAAATATAAAAAAATGTTGGTCAATGGACTTACCAAGAATTACTACTAATAATAAAGAATTACTAACATAGAATTGGAAAGGTAAGAAATCACCTCAACATGAGTAACGGAAGCTAGAAGGTGGAAAGGGAAAAAGGAAGCTTTCATCATATTAACAGAAAGGAGGCTTGTGCAGTGTCCACATCTGACAGTCACCACCATCGACAAACTGCTGCATGGGACGCTTACCTGCATCTCACAAATTTGAATTAGAAACAAAAAAGTTGCAGTGTGAAAAAAAAGAATTAATTAAAAACCAACACATGAACTTGAGTACGGCATGCAGCTCTAGAGAACGATATTACCATTAATATTGTTGTACAGAATCCACATTGTACGTAACATATCTGTTCAGGAAGATCAAAAAGAGGGTTCAGTGTTGACATGGCTGTCCCAATGTGTGGTAGTGTATGAGAATGAGAATGAGAAAGAGAGAGAGAGAGAGAGATTGAAGATGTTGTTCATTTTACACTAGGAGGAATTTATAGCTGACAGTGAACACCGATAATAATGGTGATTTTTATTGCCCGAATGCACTCCAACATCGATACTAAGGACGAGGAGAGTTTTAGTTTTTCAACCCTCTCATGATATTTAGAGGCTGAGGGCAAAAATTACAGTTACACCCTTTAGAAGATGGTTTATGATATAGTTTTACCTACTAGCCTATTTCATTTAAAAGTATTGCATTTTACCTACCTTTTCAAATTAAGTAGGGCTTGCTATAAGATACAAATTGACTTGAAGTTTCTAAGATTGATTTTTGTTAATATTAAAATAATATTTGGTGAGTGAAAATTATATTTTACAAATATAAATTAATTAGTCTAATTCAATTTACAAAATTTGCAATTGGTCAAAGTAGGATCTCCAAGAAAGAAAAAAAAATCGTTACTATGCACATATATATACAAGTAATAACTACAGTTGATTTTCTCATGAATTGCATTTGTCGGTTTATATGAGCAAAATGTAGAAATTATTACCACGAGTAAAATTCTCCTTAGTTTGCAGAGTGGCCCAAAGTTTTATGGTACTTTGCTGAGTGACTCAAAAGTACTTGTTTGTTTCATGTGTTGTTGTTTTCTCTTTCACTGATACTCCTACCTCTAAGCCCTCTCCTGGTCCTAGATCAAATTGAAAGTTCAAAAAGTTTTCCCCGAGAAGGAAAGGGAAGTTTCGGAACATGTAAAACAGTAGAAGGTAAAAAAGCATCTTAGGATTTGTCTTTCGTGAAAGACAGAAAGAGTAATTGAGCACAGAAATGATAAAGGAATCTTCCCACTTTGTTATTTTCATTCAAACTATTTCTAATGTTTCTTTAAATCATGGGTCATTGATCAGTATTCATTTAACAAAACGAACAAGTAGTGCAAATACTATTGTCATAAAAATATCAATGTTTTTTGGACGAGCAAGATATCAGGGATATGATTTGATGAAGAGCAAGCTTATTCAAAATATCTTTGAAAGTGCATATATCATTTGTTTCCGAACTTGGTATGCATTGCGGAGAAAATTTAATACGAAAACTGCTCTTGTTTCTTTACTTAAGACAAGTATCATGATTCATGGGTAATCATATTACTGTGAGTGTATTCCCATGATCAAGATCATGAATGGGACCAAGTTGTCATGAGAAAGGACCAAATTATGTAGAAAGAATCTTCATAAATCATGTATAATGATCATGTCCTACAAATAAAATGAATGAAAGCTGCGTGGTGGGTGGGAATCAAGAGCCGCTATATACTGCTCTTGTTGCTTTATTTTCGAAGTCTCTCTCTCAAACAGCGTATATATCCTTCTTAATTTCTTACTTGAATATTTTCATGTCACCTTTTTCCACTGATACGATTTTGGCTTTACGCTAAAGGATGGTTCCTATGTCAACAAAAACGAGTTCAGTAAGTATGGAACGGCCCCATATTCGAAAAGACATAGGTTCAATTTAACGTTGTTAATTGGTAAGTCCGTAAGTGTTTCTATAAATTTCCAGAGTCTTGAGACTTGTCTAATTCTGATGAACATTCGAGATTTTTGACTCATAAATCATTTTAAGGGAAAAAAAATGGTCTCTATGTGTTACGTGTTCATTTATTACATCTGCTCGGATCGATCTCAAAATCTTGTAAAAGCCGCGTGGTCCGAAGAAAAAAAGAAAGAAATTTAAAAACAACCTTGCTGTAAGAGCCAAAAGACAAGTCCCCTTTTCTACTTTCATGTTCATTTAGAGCTCACCACTGTGTTTGGCACACCTCTTTTGTGGAAATGAAAAGAATTCATTTGAAATTAAAAAAAATGAATTTACTCGGATTATCTCTCAGACTGATTTCAAATAATTGAAAAATATATACAAAAAAAATTTTAAAAAAATATTTTCTATATATAATAGGCCTAAAACTGTTTTAGTCCCCTAAATTTAAATAAATTTATTTTTAATCCCTCAAATTTAAAATTAATCTTTGTAGTTCTTTTATTCTAAAAAAAATCATGTTTTAGTTTTTATATTCAAATTTTATTAGAAAATCTGTCAAATGTTGTCGTACAAAATCTATATATTAGTATCCATATTAACAAAGACATTATATTCAACATAGGTGATGCAAATAATTGTCTCAGTCTACCATTGTCAAATATGTTGTTTATGACCAGATAGATTAAAACAAAAGTTTTAAAAATTACAAAAAATAAAATAAAATAACTTTCAACTTGAAGAACCAAAAACAAATTAACCTTAACTTTAAGGAACTACAAACATAGCCTATGTAATAAATACCTTTGCAAAATATTTTTACCTTTAGTATCTTAAAAGTGAAATTATAAAGACTTGTATATACGTTTTCCTAAAATTTAGAATAAATTTATCTTTAGTCCTTCAAATTAATTTAAAAATGTTCTTTCTATTTCATGTAATTTCAAGAAATATATTGTTTTAATCTTTCATGTCACTAGTAGTATAATTGACAATTGATAGATTAAGATAGTTATGCAACATCATACAGTTGAGTTTAATGTGATATTTTCATTAATAAGGACACTAATACATAAGTTTTGTGTGATAATATTTAACAGATTACTAACAACATTTGAGCAAAGAGACAAAAATAAGATTTGTTCAAATTACAAGGACTAAAAAATCAATTTTAAATTTGAGAAATAAAAAAGAAAGTTACATTATATTTGAGAGACTAAAAATATATTTAACCCAATTATAAAATACTCTTTGTCCTCTTTTATAAGCCGAAAAAAATTGATTTCACACATATTAAAAAAATCTGTTAAGTGAATTAAATTTTACTAATCATATAATATGGTCATAAATTGCTCTTATTATAGATGTCACTACAAAAAAAATGTTACATATAGTGACATGCAAAAAGTATAACTATAGATACAATATATGTATGTATAAATGTATTTGACATATATTCACACAATTTCGATATTGACTTTAAATAAGATTCAACAACATATATTGTGTGATACTATAATATATATCTACACTTTTTAACAATTATAAGAATATAAGTATAGATAAAAATAATTTTTAGTGATAAGTATTGTATCACTATATATGGTGTATGTCGTTACAAGACAATTTTTTTTTGTAGTGTGCCTAGACATGGCAACGGGGCGGGGCGGGGACGGGTTTTACGTTCCCCGCCCCCGCTCCT